GTAACTGCGAAATAGAAGGCATTATTATTATAAGGTATTCTTCCTCCCTCTGGTCCCAAGCCGTCTTTTAGTGAGGTTTGACTTTGACATAGACGGTTGGCCAACGTTTTCTGCAAAGGGTCAGCGAGTAACTGTTTGGAGGTCTGTGGGTCACGTGGTATCTCCAGTGACTCACTCAAGTCTAGAGCCACCGGTGTTTGCACGAGCCACATAGAATATGCAAATGAGCAGGAGAGATCCAATAACACTTGACTGGTGAAAACAAAGTGGAGGGCCAGAGTTGGCCCCTGGGTTGTGGGTCACTGACTTCTCTGGTATATAGCATAGAATTTCAGAGCAGAGGCTCCAAAGTCAGCTGCCTGCCTCAGTTTCCCCATCTGAAAAATACGTATCACATCAGTATGTGCATCAGAGTTGTGGTGACAATGAAATGTGTTCAAAAAGCAGTCACAAGAGCTCCTGGCACAAAGAGCAGACTCAGTACATTTTTTTTTTGTTTTGTTTTTTGTTTTTGTTTTTTCCACAGGCAGAGTGGACAGTGAGAGAGAGAGAGAGACAGAGAGAAAGGTCTTCCTTTGCCGTTGGTTCACCCTCCAATCGCTGCGGCCAGCGCACCGCACTGATCCGCTGGCAGGAGCCAGGTACTTATCCTGGTCTCCCATGGGGTGCAGGGCCCAAGCACTTGGGCCATCCTCCACTGCACTCCCTGGCCAAGCAGAGAGCTGGCCTGGAAGAGGGGCAACCGGGACAGAATCCGGCGCCCCGACCGGGACTAGAACCCACTGTGCCGGCGCCGCAAGGTGGAGGATTAGCCTAGTGAGCTGCGGCGCCGGCCCTAGTACATTGTTATCATTAGCCTCATCATAGCACTGAGAGCACTACTAGGCAGGAAACTGAATTCACAAAGTAGATCTAGTGCAAGATTCAGAATTCCTGTATTTCAGTTGTGCATGTCATCAGCCAAATACCTAAATGCTTTTGAATTTTCAAATCTCTTTCTGTCATCTTTATTATACCTGTGATACATTTAATAGCTTCTTATCTTTTTTTAAAAAAGATTTATCTATTTGAAAGGCAGAGCTACAGAGAAATAAAGAGAGAGCAAGAGGGAGACAGAGAGAGATCTCCCATCTACTGGTTCACTCCCCAAATGGCCACAACAGTCAGGGCTGGGCTAGGTCAAAGCCAGGAGCCAGGAGCCAGGAGCCAGGAGCCAGGAGCTTTTCCAGGTCTCCCATGTGGGTACAGGGGCTCAAGCACTTGGGCCATCTTAGGCTGCTTTCTCAGGCACATTAGCAGGGCGATGAGTCGGAAGTAGAGCAGCTGGGACTTGACCTGGCACCTGTATGGGATGCTGGCATTGCAGGCAGTGACTTAACCTCTTACACCACAATGCCAGCCCCTTCTTCCTATATTTTGATCAAAGTTAATATTGGTACATTTTATAACTTGCATAATTGCATCTACCATGTCTTATTTTGCTATCAGCATTGGGTATTTACTATGTGCCAAAGACCATGCTTTATATATGAGACCTTGTTTAATTATTTTTCTTTTTTAAATTATGATTAAAGTTTGCGAACGTTATTTGAGAGAGAGAGAAAGAGAGAAAAAGAGACGAGAGACGGCCGGCGCCGCGGCTCACTAGGCTAATCCTCCACCTAGCGGCGCTGGCACACTGGGTTCTAGTTCCGGTCGGGGCGCCGGATTCTGTCCCAGTTGCCCCTCTTCCAGGCCAGCCCTCTGCTGTGGCCAGGGAGTGCAGTGGAGGATGGCCCAGGTGCTTGGGCCCTGCACCCCATGGGAGACCAGGAAAAGCACCTGGCTCCTGCCATCGGATCAGCGCGGTGCGCCGGCCGCAGCGCACTGGCTGCGGCGGCCATTGGAGGGTGAACCAACGGCAAAGGAAGACCTTTCTCTCTGTCTCTCTCTCTCACTGTCCACTCTGCCTGTCAAAAAAAAAAAAAAAAAAAGAGACGAGAGAGTGATTAAGCTCCCATCCGCTGGTTCACTCCTCAAATGCCCACAACTGAAGCTGGATCATGGCTGGGGCCACGAGTCCAGTGTGTAATCTGGGTGTTCCACGTGGGTGGCAAGAATACAGTTACTGCCTCCCAGGGTCGCTGGAGCCAGGAATAAAACTCAGTCATGCCACTGTGGGCTGTAGTCATCATAACTGCTAGGGTGAAGTCCACACCCTTGATTCATTTTCAACTACAACCCAAAGAGGTCGGTTCTCCATCAGACAAACAAGGATACTGATGCTCAGAGAAGTAAGTGGCTTGCCCAAAGATACCCCCGCAGCAGTAAATGGTGGAGCCAAGGCTTGAGCCCAGATATGCCCAACAGAGAACATGTATTTTGAAAGCTTAAGGACTTTAGCTTGTCAAGGCCAATGAGCTTTGCATCTAGGGCCAAAGTTTGCTCTAAAAAATAGTAGCAAGACCATACATTGTCACGTTCTAGGGAAACTGAGTCTAGAAATTCTATGCAATATTATGCTGTAACTGGTAATCAGCATTTAATGTTAAGGATGAGATGAACCCAGAAAGCATTAATAGCATGTTTAGGATGAGGCACTTGCTTTGGGTAAATCCATCCGTATAACGCTACAGGACCAGAACTAGTAGATGGTGTTGTGTGGAATCCGCAGTAAAGAGGACTCCCACCTTGTTGAATTTATTCCTGAGTTAAGAGAGCTGTGTGTCCTGGAGGGCAGATTTGTATCTAGCAATTTGTTTACTGCGATGACTTAGCCAAGTGGATTCTTTGCCCCCAGCCACAAAAGCAAAAGAGCAGGGGAGAGCAGGGGAAATGTCCTGTATGGAAGTGGCTGTTTTCTGGGGGGCAAATTTTAGCCCAGGTGCTAGGGACTTGTGGCTGTGTTTAAGGAGAGGCAGGAGGATAAGGGGGAAGCGGGAGGATGGTTCCGGGCTCCTCCTGGATTCCATGGTATCATCACGGCATGATCGGCTGTGATTGGCCGTACAGTAACTGGAATGGCTCTTGGCCACTGGAGGAAGGGCTAGTGGTCACTGCATGCCGAGACCACATCCTGCCCTTCAGCTCTGACTCATGCTGGCTTTGGAGATGACGAGTGGGAGAAAAATGGAGCTGTAAGCAGAACTGCAGAGCAGATCTCAGAGCAGATGTCGACCACAGTTTGAAGTGGCGAGTGCAAGGGGAATGGGAAGAAGAGAGATTTCCCTCCTACCTAACTTGACTTGCATGAAAAGCAGTGTCCTGTCTGCTCCTTCCTGCGGCTCGCGTTAGCAGAACATTCATCGTCACGCTGTTTCTGTGCTTACTCTTCAAATGGCTTCCCTTTGTATTTAGGAAAAAACCCAAACTCCTTAGCATGATTATCAAGATCTTCCTTGATCTGGGCCCAGCGTCATTTTGCACAGTGTTTCCCAAACTCGTGCTGCTCTGGCCCACACATGCTGATTGAAGTTCCTAGAACAGATCAAGGCCCACCTCCAGGCCTTCGCTGCTGCTACATCTTCACACCCCTTGGGTCTCAGGTCAAATGGTGCCTGTCTGGAGCTCTGGGGACCTCCCTGATTATCCTACCTGAAACAGCCCGCACGTCCCACTCCCCCATCTTTACCTTACTATGGTGTCATTGTTCTTCGTGTTTGCATTGATGCCCCTCTGAAATGACCTTGGCTTGCTTGCTGATCGCCTAACCAGGATATAAACCTCAGGACTGCATGGTTATCCTGTTGGCCACTCTACCCCCAGCCTGGCACGTAAGAAGAACTCAACAACTGTTTGGTTTTATCCCAGCTACTTTTTTTTTTTTTTTTTTGACAGGCAGAGTGGACAGTGAGAGAGACAGAGAGAAAGGTCTTCCTTTTTTCCGTTGGTTCACCCCCCAATGGCAGCTGTGGCCGGGCACAAGGACTTGGGCCATCCTCCACTGCACTCCCGGCCACAGCAGAGAGATGGACTGGAAGAGGAGCAATGGGGACAGAATCCGGCTCCCCAACCGGGACTAGAACCTGGTGTGCCGGCGCTGCAGGTGGAGGATTAGCCTATTGAGCCGCAGCGCTGGCCTATCCCAGCTACTTTTGAACTTACAGTGGTGCCCTGTCCCCTGTTCTGTCCACTGGAACAGCAATGTGTGCTCAGTAATCCTGTTTAAATTGAGCTCCCCCTCTATGCTATGATTCTATGTGGCTGAAGGCCACACAGCTGTTGGCCTCTGAGCCACCACCACTCCCCTTCACCTCAGTTCTTCCTCACCTCCAGCTTCCTGCTCATGCCGTGTGTCTCTGAAAGCCTTTACTCGCCTCTCCATATGGCCAAATCCTGGCCACCCTTCAAGGAAGGACAGTGCCAGGTTCTACCTCTTCCGAGAAGTCATCTCTAATCCTTTGGACAGGACCCCACTTATGCACTGTTGGCTCAAGTAGCTGTGCCTTTGTCCCCCAGACTAGCCCAGGAGCACCTGACAATAAGGGGTCAGCCCTCATATGATTCTATTCTCAAGTGCTATGGCAGCACTGGGTATCTGGGCTTAATAGCAGAAATGTCTCTCCAGGGATTTGAAAGCACTCACTTGTAGCAATTCGTCAGAGACAGGAACCTAGCTGGAGGATGTTTTTGATTTTTCTATTCCTTGTCATTGGCGATCTCTTCATTAGGGGCCTGCAGATTCTAGGTCGCGTCTACTCAGAGTACAGTGTCAAATCCTCTCAAGAACACCTCACTTTGGATGGAAAAAGTCTACTGATCTGGCATGAAAACTCAGCTCACCTGTCCAATTTGGCACATTCCCCGGTACATGATGCACCCAACACTGCCTGGAAACCTAGGTAGACTTTTAACATAAAATATATTTCTGGGCCCATGTTAATATATATTTAGATTCTGAGTCCTCAAGAGAAAAATGACACAAAGTAGTGGTTTCCAAAGTGGGATGAGAAGGAACACCAGGTGGAAACTTTGACGTTTAATTTCACCTTTAATTTCTATTTCTGTGTGCCTTCCCTTAGGATGTCCCTAAGGATGGTGATGACAGGAACAGCAGCAAGTACTGCCCCTGCTGAGCTAAGGAAGGGCCAGGAGCTGATCTAAAGGGCTTCACGTGTTTGAACTCAGCTGAATTCTCACCGCAACACCAGGGGATGAATACCATTGTTGGCATCTGTGTAGGTTTATGACTGACAACGGAGAGAGACTTGCTTAAATCACTTTTTGCTGTTAGGACTCCTTGGTCAAACCCAACACTGCTCTAGTCTTTAGTCTCCCTACTTGTACAGGTGCCTGAGTTTCTGTGGGCACCCCTGCTACCTCTGCCAACACCCCCAACCTCTGCACTAGCCCCCCCTTCTGCATAGGCTCCCCTCCACTCTGTAGCTGTGCCCCCATGTCTCTAAGTGTCCTGGCTTCTGGGGGCACCTGAACCCTGCAGAATCTGAATGCTTAATAATAATCAGAGGCCGGTACCGTGGCTCACTAGGCTAATCCTCCGCCTTGCGGCGCCGGCACACCGGGTTCTAGTCCCGGTCGAGGCACCGGATTCTGTCCCGGTTGCCCCTCTTCCAGGCCAGCTCTCTGCTGTGGCCCGGGAGTGCAGTGGAGGATGGCCCAAGTCCCTGGGCCCTGCACCCCATGGGAGACCAGGAGAAGTACCTGGTCCTGCCATCAGATCAGCGCGGTGCGCCGGCCACAACACGCCGGCCGTGCCGGCCATTGGAGGATGAACCAACGGCAAAGGAAGACCTTTCTTTCTGTCTCTCTCTCTCTCACTGTCCACTCTGCCTGTCAAAAAAAAAAAAAAAAAAAATCAGAGATTGACGAGGCGAATGCAGAGGAATGCAGACTTTCTCCTCTAAAATCGCCAGCAGCCTGAAGGACCCACCCAGTGCCCCAGAGTGAAGGCCCTGTCCGTTCTCCTCATCTGCAGTCATCTCGCTAAAAGTCATTTTCAGACACTCTGCTGACTCTGCTGCTGCCGTAGAGGCTGGCCTCCTCCCCCTATCCCGGGTGCCACCGATTTTAAGACCCTGGTGGCTGAGGCCACCCTCCACCTCCGCCACCAAGCGTGTGTCGCACTAAATGCATGCAAGGTCACTGCGGCCGAGGAACCTGCGCGGAGGGCCAGGCCGCTCAGACTCTTCGTGATTCACCAGGGGCTTGGCAACAGCACGCCCTTAATTTAAGGCGTCGGGTTTAAATTTGAACCACTGTGCCGTATTTCAGCTTTTCATTTGCCAAACCGCCAGTCAACTTAAACTGAAACATGTTTTTTGGAAAATGCGTTTAGGGGTAGTAGGAATGCAGTAATTTGCTGGAAGCATTCAGCCGGACTGAGGGTGGTGAGGCTGGAGAAAGTAAGAACGTGCGTGGGTCCTGGGTGGACATGTTCTTTGCTTGCAGAAGGGTTGCAAGCTTCTGTTTGTCCCTTCTCATCCAGCAGCACATGGGGTCAGTTTACAGAGTCAGGAAACTGGTGTCAGGTTCCCCATGACCTCCCAGGGCTCAGGATGGCAGCTATGGTTACCAAAGAGCTGGTCTTGTCCTCATCCACAGAGGAGTGAGAATGGCGGGTCAAAGGCCATCCTGGCACTAACGCTGTCTCCTGTGAGTGTGTGTGTGTGTGTGTGTGTGCGCATGTGCAGCCAGATATGTCAGTGACTATGAAAGAGGGCAGGCTTCCCTCTGTGTCTGCCATCCCAGCAACGTGGTGGAGGGGAAGACAGCACTGGACCAGGAGTCAGAGAACCACGCGTAGGTCCTGCTTTTATTCCGCACTCCTCCCTGGCTGGGTGACCCTGCACAAATCACTCAGTTCCTTGGCCTCTGCTTCTTCATCTTTTTTTTTGACAGGCAGAGTGGACAGTGAGAGAGAGAGAGAGAGAGAGAGAGAGAGAGAGAGAGAGAGAAAAGGTCTTCCTTTGCCCTTGGTTCACCCTCCAATGGTCGCCGCGGCCGCCGTGTTGCGGCCGGCGCACCGCGCTGATCCGATGGCAGGAGCCAGGTACTTCTCCTGGTCTCCCATGGGGTGCAGGGCCCAGGGACTTGGGCCATCCTCCACTGCACTCCCTGGCCATAGCAGAGAGCTGGCCTGGAAGAGGGGCAACTGGGACAGAATCCGGTGCCCCGACTGGGACTAGAACCTGGTGTGCCGGCGCCGCAAGGCGGAGGATTAGCCTAGTGAGCCGCGGTGCCGGCTTGCCTTTCAAATAAACTTCACCGCTCCTTGGTACTTTTCAAATTCTGCCTCATGGCATCATGGCAGTAACTTGTTTTAATGCCTATTTCTCAAATCACCAAACATATTGGAGAGCAGAGGCCAGTAATTTTTTTTCTGCAAATGGCTAGAGTATATGTTCCAGATTTGCTGGCTGTAGGGTCTCTGTCGCTCAAATCTGAGCACAGACAATATCTAATGATTGAATATGGTTGTGTTCCAATAAAACCTCATGAGAGTGAAACCTGGGTTTATGAAAATTTCATGGGTCACAAAATATACTTCTTTCAATTCCTTTAAACATTGAGGAAATGCACACATCATCCCTAGCTTGTGGTCCAAACAGAAGCAGATGGTAAACTGTTCTGATGTGAGGGCCAGCAGTTTTCTGAGTCCTGCTCAAGCCAGGATCGAATCTATCTCCTCTTTCTATTTCACCAGTGGCAGGGCCTGGTGAAAATCAGACTTTGGGGTAATACAAGTTTGGATTCAAGCTGCATCCCTACTTCACGTTATACTCAGCAATAACATATATTTAATCTGCTGGTTCCATGCCATATTTCATGGGTACAGCTCATGGATCTTCTCCCAGTAATGCAATTGTTGTCCTTTGTCTCACTGGGGAACAGGAGCAGTTGACTGGGTAAATGTTGGTTTGAGCCTGACGGGGCGGGGGGAGGGAGCACACAAGGATCTGAAAACTGCACAACTATTCTAAGTGCTTTCAAAGTCCCGCTGTGAACAGGCAAGTCTTTGCCCTGACTGTATCTGGCCTACAGATTGAGATTCAACCATGCGGGAAAGATGGCTGCACATGTTCAAATCCCCCTTGCTGAGAAATCAGTGAGAATGTATTTTGAAATTTATATAACATTTCCCTGTCCATTACCTTTATTAACATATTATATTCTCCATTCTCACAAAAATGCTTAGATACAAGTATGACTATCCTAGCGTTTTAGTTTAAGTGATAAAATGATTGATTTGCAGAAATATCCTAGCTATGCATTTTGAACTTTGAGCCAGAATGTAGGAGGGGCTACCCTCTCTTCCATCACTGAATTTGTGATGGATCACAGCACACACTCCAGAGGTCGCATTTAGAATTTAATGCTTCCGTGTGTCTTTTTTAAAAACTTATTATGCAAAATAGAACATTTGGGCTCCAAAGTAGTTTCTGAGCTGGTTCACAAATTTGAAAACTCATTGGCGTCACCTGGCAGATATTTTCGAAGCAGCAATGCCCTGGCACCACCTTCAGTGAATTAAATTAGGAGCACTATAGTCCCTGCGAGCCAATGAGCTTTGCGGGTGGTTCAGCATGCAGCTGGCGCTAGTGGGTGATGGCCTCTGAAACTTGCTTCCACTTGGCTCGATGCTAGAGGCCCACTCGGCCCTGTGGCCTCACTGTGCTCTGGGGAATCAGCACCCACCTCCTCCCACCCCACAGCTGGCTCAGCACAAAGCCTCTGGTCCCAAAGTCTAGGATAAACTGTTTTTGCCAATGACCTTCCACAAAGAGGTAAGTGACTGCTTCTAAAGCCTTAAAACCATTCATTAAAACACATAGCTAACATGGCACTGCCATTGAGAGAGGGCAGGGGAGGAAGCAGGAACAAAGAGTGTAGCTGGAAGCCAGTTAAGATGACAAACACAGGCCCTAGGAAAAACCTTTCCAATTTATAGGAAAAAAAATTCGGGTTCCAAGAATTCCATGAAATTCTCACACTAACTGATAAAGACAACTTGGAGATGGCAGTGTGGGCCATCTCTTTTGTGACCTTGGATGTCACTTTGTGGGTAGGTGACAGCCAGCAGGAACATACAATTGAAAAAGAAATTGTTTTTAGCTTAAAAAGTGTACTTGGCCTTTAAAGGCTTTAAGCTTTTTTTTTTTTTTTTTTCTTTTTCTCCTCTTTCCCCAAAGGGCCATCAACACTGGTTAGCTCCTTAATGAAACCAAGCAATCACTGTAGCATCAAAACACCACTAGGTCAAAGTCAAAAGCTGGGGGAGAATTTACTGGCAGGCTTCCTTGCAGGGTTGGTTTAAGGATAAGAAGAGTATCTGAGAAGTGTAGCACGCTCCTAAGAAGGAAAACCTCAACACACAGCGCCTATCATTAGCATGCTTTAAGTTCTTCGTAAAAATAACATATTATTTCTCAAATGACAGTGAAGGGGGAAAAATGCTCCTTCCCCAAATCGACTCTTCCCAGTATTTCTGAACTCGACAATTTGCACAGCATTTGACAGTTTCTCCAGCTTTAACACTGTGCAAGAGAAAGTGCTCGTGATGCACCACACAAGCCGATTCCGCCAGACACAAGTTCTCCGCACCCAGCGGCTGAGTCTCACAGCTGCCCTGTGAAGCGGAGCTGAGTCCTTCATACAGAGTGGGAACCCAGGTCTCAGGCGGAAGGAGCTTGAAGTCAGACAAGCTGGGAGCTGACCCCTGGCCATTTTTCTCTATCCCCTCTCCTCACACAGACTTTATTGTAGTGGTTAAGAGCACAGACTCCCTCCCAAATGGCAAACCCTGAATTTGCCACTTTGGGATCCCGTGGGACAAGTCCTTTTACCTTGCTGTACCTACTGCCATCTGTTTGCATGGGGATGATAGAAGTTAACTATACTTCATGGGATACTGACAGGCTGCAAGATGTAAATGTGAAGTAAGTTTCCAGGGTTATGATCTTTGTTCCTTTGCTTTATCTCTCCGTGGGAGAAAAAGTAGGTAGCAAGGACGACCATCTAAAAACTGACCATTTGGCTGAACAGTTCACAATGAGACAGCAGATGTAGGCCTTCCCCTAACACCTAGAAGATGGAAACTAGTCATATTCTTAGCAACAGAAGTTTCCAGATCTTCCTGGGCCCATTTCCAGCCCCCGTGGATTAGTTTTCAGGCACCAAGAGGACTAGGTGACCTCCTTAAGCTGGCAGAGCCGCGCTGAATGACATGAACATTTCACCCAAGGAGGTCTCTTATTTTCAG